TTATTAGAGAGATGCTGATCTCTCACTGGATTAAAGAAAAGAGGAAAAATTGGATAAAAAGGAAAGAATGAATGGGATTTTTAGTCCATCAGCCTGTACACAACTATTTCTGTTTCTGCCTACCTACTCTTTATGGACTGTAAATGATCATTGCCTCACAAGACAAATGACACCAAGTCAATGGTTTAGGATAAATAATTTAATGCTGTTACACTGTAGATATATTTGCACTCTCACTCACAAAAGGAAAAAAAAAAGATAAAACCAGAAGAAATAAACAACAGTCCGTCTTAACATTGCATATACAGCTACAGCTCCCTGCCAGCAATGTGGACCCAGTGCCTGAAAGAGCAGCATCCCACTCTCCCCAGCACATTCTCTCACACACACACACACACAAGAGTCTGGGCAGCATTTCTAAGACTGACATTGACTGGAGGGCTGCATAAATGGCCCCTCCAAATCTCCACACCCTGAGATTTCCCCCATCACCCAGCCTAAGAAACTACTCATATCTGTTTTGTCACTAAATAAAGCAGTTGAACAACACAGCAGTACAAACGCTTGCATCCGTGCTATCCTGATCAGCTGTGGTGTAGAGGTGCACTTGCTGGTTTTTAAGCATGTACAGGCTCTATCTCAGAGGGGACGTTCTAGCTTCCCTCTTGAGGTGGGTGGAGAGGGTTGGGGTGGGTGAAAATGGACTCTACCAACCCTGCCTGAGACCACATGTTGACCACTTGCTTTGTGGGCCTCTGCTAGCCTGTTTGTTCTGCAATGTTTTGCAACCACACAGTATTTGCAACAACCAGACCAACACTGCTAATGGCACTCAGGGGAATAAAGATGGAGAGAGGGAGGGGGAATTTAATGTTGTTAGCACACAGGATCAATTGATAATAACAAGGTATCCGCATGGCAAAAAACACAAAACTCACTCTCATTCTAAGAAAAAAAACATGTTGCTTAGGACATTGTTGGCGAGTTTTTCTGTGAAAAAGCAAAAATAAGTCCAGAGAGAACACCATGGATGGGATACAGGAGAAGAAGCAGATAATAAAGGCTAATTGAAATCTACTTGACTGAACTTATTGCACAAGGAAGGAAATGAGGAAGACAGGGTTGTAATGTACTGCAGTGGGCTGAAGTAGATTTGCTGTTAGGATACTGGGTTGTAGGACCTAAAGGAGCTCAATTAACTTCAGGGCTTTCTTTGTGTACGCCATGTACCCTGCTAGCCCATGAGCCTGAGCTCCTCCCTATCAGCTGTAACACAGCTACCAATTAAATTCAAATATCAAAAATCAGATTGCTATGAACAAAGAACACTTATTAGACTTCCGTGTACATACTGTTCACAGATTGCAGTGGAAGACTGGGATGTAATTAAAGAGACTGGGATGTAATAAGCGGCAGGTTGAAGGATCTTAACATCAGAGGTTTAATATAGTTTGTAGATAATGGGAGAAGATTAATGATAAAAGAAAGATAATTGAAATGTTCTGCCTCTGGACCGGGTGGCAAAAATACCTCAGGAAGTGAGTCATGGCCCTGCCAGAGGGCTACACTGATATATTCCCAGGCTTGTATATGAGACTTAATAGGTCTTCTGGAGTACTAGAATAGATTTGATACACCAGATGAACACTCTGCTTATGCGGATTACACCAGCTGTGTAATTAGGCCTTAGCGTATTTGTATTACAGACTGCTTTTAAATCATCTTGGCCAGATTGACTTCATAGTCCACACCAGCAAAGATTCTTTTTTTTTCTGTCAGATGGCAACAGAGGCAGGAAAGGTGTAGATTTTCACATGCACCAAAATCCTGTCAGCTTTAGTAGTCTCCAATACATCTGTTAGAATTCCTGGGAAGTACATCAAATTTACCCTCTAATAGAATAAAGATGCATTTCATTATTGTCTAATGATAGAATTATGGTAAGGTAATAAGAATGACTGTAGAACTAAACCACACATCAGGGAGAGTGACAGAAAACAGGTGGTTGTCCACTCATCTCAGTGCCAGACTAGAATCAGGGTGCACACTTATGGGATTTCCATCCATCCTTTATGCTACAGTAAATTACTTAGTGGGCTTGACTAATTGGGCGACCTTAGAATTGTTTCCAGGTCTGCAGCAGTGGATCTCTATACGTCCTGCTTTTCACAAATTTCACGTAAAGAGTCTTGGGTTGTTCACTTTTGAAATAGAGCTGATAGTTCTGCCCAATGGAAATACAGGGGCAGTGGAAACCGGATCTGTGCCCGAGCCTTGCTGAGTCAATTCTCTGAGGGTCTCACACTGGTGGGTTGAGTGGAATCAACTCCATTCATCTTCTTTTTTATCTCAGACAACACGGGCACAGCAATTCTCCCCTGCCAGGAAAAGCACTTCGATCTGGTTGTTGAAATCTCAGTCTACTGTAGAGGCAAGTATCCACACCACTGTGATGTGAAAAAACTGTCCTGCCACGGCCTCTGTGTCCCTTGCTCTTCTGATGTTGAAGTATAAAGATCAAGGCTTCGAGACTTGACAGGAGAACATGAATCACCTCGCTACTCTCTCCCTCAACTTCTGCATCAAGAGCTCTCCCTCAGGGTCTCTGCTGAAGTGATTCAGTCCTGCTCCTAATACTAGCATTAGACATTCAGTCAGGTTTGGCATGTATGGCTTATGCAGGAGATGGAAATATTGCGTGTATCTGTGTGCCTTTGTGTGCATTTATTTTTATATATCAGGCTTCCTTGTGGCACTCCCGGAGGAGGTGTGATTTCTGGGATAACTAACTTTACTTTGAAAATGTTGGGGGTTCGGGGGCAGTGAGGGGGACTAGTCTGTGGTTGAGGGGCTGGCTGTTGTCAGGAACTGCTGTGAGCGTGGGGACAAATGCTTAGAAAAGCAGCTCCCAGAAAAAATTAGATGGCTGTAATTTAATTATGAGTTTTGACCATAAAACAACTCTTACTTTTCCTTGGAGAGGATTCAGAATTTGTGACTAAAACGGGACCCAAGGAGAAGCGTAAAATGGTACCCAAAGTTAGCGGTCAATATGAGCAGGTGTTCAGTTTCCTCAAGTCTTGATGTGTGTGTGTTCATTGCCCCTTGTCCTGGGCAGGTGCTGAGGGAGAGGGGCCGCAGTGCTAAGAGGATGCTGGCTTGTTGTAGTCCTCCACTCCAGTGATTGTGGCCTTGCAGAAAAAGCAGTCCTTATTGTTCATCAAGTGCTGGTTGATGCAGGCTCTGAGAGACCAACAGAGAACAATATAATGACTCACACTGTTCAAGTGTGCCGACATTCTGCTATGAAGCTGTCTAGATGAAAAACAATATATGAATAATTAACCGTAGAAGCTCTGATGACAACAACATGGCTCATTATCTCGTTGTTTTAGAAGCTCTCCCAGTCTTGCAGGACACATTTCAAGTAATGTATTTCTACCACGTACCATTTAGAGCTTATGATGTCAACCTTAGACACGTTTGCTTGTAGAAAAGTAGAATTAAAAAATGGTGCTTTTACAATGACTCTTCCAGAAAAGAACCCTGGACCCTTGTGCTGGTACTCACTTGCATGACTTGTGGGAGCAGGGCTTGAAGACAGCAGAGATGGGATGGGCGTAGCAGATAGGACACAGGTCCTCTTCGCTGGTGGGCTGAGGAGAGTACACACAGACAGTGGTCAGAGTGGCACTCATCAGAAAATGTCTGAATTTGTATCGAGTATTACCTAGTTTGTTTACTATATATAATACTGGTGTACAAAAGGTGGCTTTTACAATAGCTGTTACAATTTTTTATATGCTTTATATGATGCTTATATATACTTCAAATACCACTTTTATCCTCCATTTTTTCTTGTTTAACTTTAGTCTTGCCCTGTAAAAAGTTCAGTGTAGTGAATTTCCTTTTGCACGTTTTTTATTAGGTGATTTCCATCAATCATCTAATAAACATCCTCCCTCTTGTACCCATGAAAGACACCCTAACAGCATACCTAGAAAAGATTCTCTGCACAACTGACATCACAACCCAAGACAAATCATCATGGGGGGGGAAATGAAACCTAAATGTAAATTCATATGTATGCAAACATAAACATAAAGCTCTCTGTGATCAATCTAGCCTGGATCTTCACTTTCCCTTGTGCTTCTCCTAGTGCACTAGCTTAATCAGGGATAAGGATCAGCATGGAGTAGACCGTGTTAATCTTGTTTAATGCACAGGCACATCTTAATTAGCTCTCCAGTGATTTGCCTGCTAATGGTTCTGGGAGCACTATCCCCAGGACAACCAGTGCTTCTTAAACTGTACCAGCAAGCCAGGTGAAAAAAACTGTAAACAGTAACAGTTTCCTGTAAAGAGGTTTATTATGCACCCTATACCAGAGACATCTTGAGCCACAGCCATTTTATACAAGCTGTTCAGTGCAATATGTGAATTAATGACAATGAATTATGCTAGGTATAATAATGTATAATAATTTAACTATTTATTGTTACATTATGTCTGCTGTAGAATAGTCCAATAATCACAAACTGAAATTCAAGCAAATACTACAAGCTACAGTCTGCATGCCTTATGAGACTCACATGCTGGGTGACACTCAAAGACATGGAGATAAGGTGTTTTTTTTTTCTCTGTGGATGGAGAAACATTGACAGTTCTGTAAAATAGCTTTACCTTACTGATAACTCAGGTCATGTTATGTGAGAAAATGGTACCAGCCGAAGATTCTAGCTGAAGAACAAAGATGTCACTTCCGAAAGACAATGAGAAACTTTAAACTTGTATACAATGATCATCATCCCCACTGGGTATGACCAACTTTGCTGGGTATTATTTCTACTGTTTCAAACAAATCAGTACATACACTGCACCAGAATAAAAAAGGCACTCAGGGAGAGATGTGACAGGTGTCCCTAACTGAACACCATGGCTTTATGAATCCACAAACAGCTGTTTTCATGCTAATGGGAAATACTTCTCAAATACAGAATTCAAATTGATCATTTTGGACTCTTTTCCTAGAATCTGCTGATTCAACACGGAGAACAGTGCAGTGCAGCCAGGTCAAAACAGGAATCTTTTGCTATCTGATTCTGGTTACACTTGTGGCCATCGAGATCAATAAATGCATCATTCAGAAAACTTCTAAGACAATACTTTTTTGTCTTATAGTCTATACCTTATGAAGCAAAGCTCTGTAGGTAAAAAGCCATAATCATAAAAGATTTTTCAGTCTCACTCACTCGTACATTTGCTAAATCAGAATGAAACACTTAAACCACCAAAGAGACTCTTAAATTAACATCCGAAAAGAATTATGTGACACTTTGAAGCTTTTGTAATGGAAAAAAGGAGATGTAAACAATGAAATTGCCTTAGGAGTACGATCTGAAATCACTAAAATTTAGCACTATATTCCTGAGTCAACAACAACAACATTAGGGAAATTCAAATGTAAAGAAATTGTCTTATTTTTAGTTAAAATGTGTCATGCAATCAGACATAAATCTTTCTTCCTATTGGCCTCATACGTTCAATATTCTACAAGAGAGTTATGGAGAAACACTAATACAAAAAGCAAAGTTATGAAAAGACCTAATAATGTTCTTCCAAATCCTCACTTATATTCTATTTATATGTTTTATTCGTAAGTAAAAAACTTCACATGACATGCAATTGGTGAATTTATTAGATGAACATATGCATAATCTTACATTCTCTGTGAGAGCTGTTCAAAGTAAGAAGCTAGTGAGAATTCCTCAGATAACACAGTATGGCCCCAGTGAAAAAGTGTTATCATGCAGATCAGGTATTTGCCAAAAAATGTGTTTTTTTAATCACTTTCAGCTCCTTTTGGTTGCAGATGCAAACCAATTCTTAAGAAGTATCCATTTTTGGATACTTAAGGGACTGAAGTTGACTGAAATTATTTTCTGCAATTACCGAAGTGATCTTTACATCAGAACATGTCACTACCCCTCCAATATCTACAGCAATTATAATTTATCCGCATGACATTTTCAGAGCTGAACAATATGCCCAAGATCTGTAATAATTCAGACAGCTAAAGGTTGCTCTCTGAAGAATAATCTGACTGCTGGATCAGTGACCACACTGTTTCTACTTTATGCTTCAATCAAACCCTTTGTTTGGTTTTCTATTATCTCATGTTTAATGGAATAGTAGCTAATGTACTATAAATACCAGTTCAGGGAAATTACAGCAACTATTGGACTGGAAAAAGTTTTTTATAATATGTTTGCTCAAACCAGGTATTCCCCAGCATTGTTCCTTAGAAAACTCCAGATATCCAGCAGCCATTAAAGCTACATCTATCCCAACAATTACAGCAATGTAAAGCATGCTTCAGTTCCCTCACAATACACGGACCATGTATGGCCTCGGGTAAGGTACAAACTGGCCTGTAGAAGGCACTCTGCTTATTCGTAATGTCACACCTTTCTTTCTCTGAGAGACAGACTTCAGTACCACCAATCCTTTTCCTCAACTTGTGTCCCTTTCACAGGCTGGATGTTTTTCCATAACCACGCACAATTGAAGGCTTTCTCCCTCACTGCAGTGAACATTCTCAGAGGTTTCCCCAAGGACTCAGCAAATGAGCTGGAGCTTTATGGCCTGCAATCCTCTCTTTATGTGTCATTAGAGCCACCTATTCCATCACGCTAGTCTTTGATCTGTCTCAGAGTGTGTGCAGACAGTTCAGGCATCACCGTGTTTGACCAGTTTGCATCCTGCCCCTGTGGAACACACCTTTTGGGATTCCCATGATTTCTCAGGATAATACTGTATGTGATAAACTGATATATCAGTCTGTATGCCTGCAGGGATTCCATAAGCACAGTTATGCCTAACAGGTTAGAAACTCTTTCTCAGTTTGTTATTTCCAGCTGGTCATAAAACGGTTGCCTTGGCTGTTTCGTCTATCATATCTTATTCCCGACAGCGGCTGATGCACTGCCCCAGCCAGTATGTAAAGACCATGCATTGATCTTGATTTTGGACATTCTGTTATTCTGCAAAAGCTCTCATGCAGGGCAGGTCTGAATGGGAGTGAACTGTATATACAGTACATTGCAACAGCAGAGTAGCACAATAGAACAGCAACGATTCACAAAGTTGAATTGGTTGGGTCCCCACTTTGAAGTGTCCACTTTTCAGAGGATCTTGGTGGCTGCACTGACTTACTCTTCCATCTTCACTACATGTGCTTTAAAGAAAGTGTTTGGTCCAATGTTACTTCCAAACCGACAATGTTTTTAGAGATTATCCGTGGGGATTCGGATTGTTTGATTTCCGAATGGCTACTCAACAGCATGGGTGAAAGGCCAATGCCTGTGTCTCCCTCAGGTCGAGGCGATGCAGGTTGTTACTGTAATCAGCTGAGATGTAGCATGGTGCACATCAGTCTCTTCTCGACCAATGCAAAGATTTTCTCCTGCGATCTGATGGAAACGTCCTGGAGAACTGGCGCTAGAATGCTGTGTTGTCTGATTCTACTTTTTTGTCTTTTCCATTGGTCCTGTGTCTCCCACATCTGTACATAAAAACATCTCTACAAGACATCAGATAAGTTGCACTAGGTGGCAGCTGTGCACTATTTCAAAGACTTTGGCGAGCAGGATTTGGTGACTTAGTGTGTTGCCTGCTACTGACGAATCTGTAATTGTAGTTGTCTGTTACCAGCCTTGTCTTAAAATCTCTCTTTTCTTACTGCTCTTAAACATGCACGTTATATTTTGCTAGGTTTTTGTCCGAGCAATAGCTTTCAGGTACTGGTTCCTTTAAGATTAGTGCATTACTTCTTAGTTTTTCACAGCCAGGATGGAGAAAGGCCAAAAATAAAATAGAACAAGAATAATACAGTAATCAGTAACCACTGTCCAGCAAATCCCTCAATATCCTTCTTTTGATTAAATCTAGCAATATTGTAAGAAAATCCCCAAATCCCACATGGCAATGATTCCCAAGAAATTGCGAAAGCCTGCTTTAATTGCATAGCCTCTGCTAATTTTGTAGGAATTGGGAAGGAAAGATTATGTATGTACAGTACATTATGATGGAAAGCTGGGATTTTTTAACCTAGTTTACTTATTGAAAAAGACTTATATTGCATCTCTACATTTTATCCTAAATGTCTAAATCTGCCTCTATAAAGCAGGCAATTACAGAGTGGTTTTGCTTCGTGTCTTCATGCCCAACACAAAGGTCTAGCTTTGTTAGTTTCTTTCAGGAAAGGTTTCTCAGCCTTAGCAATGTAGCAATGAGAATAATAGGGAGTAAAATTATTCAAAGTATTGCTGGTAAAGAAATGAACCAGAATTAAAAATTAATAAAAGTTTTGAACTTCCACTGCACTGAATGTAGACTGGGATAGAGATAGAGTTAACTTTTATCTCTTTCGTCATCATGAAGCCAGACATCTCCAGTGGCTGGTAAGAGCATGACATCACCTGGGGAGAAGTCTCCAGAGAGAGAGGAAGATAGTGAGGAAAGACTTGAACGTTTGGATATGGTGGTTTAACATGCTGTCTTTCTGCCTGAATTCTAACCAAGGTGAATCTGGATCTAGTGAACAGAATGGTTTATCACAACTGTGCAAACACAGTGAAAAAAAATTAACAGCACA